ATGGTACTTGCTGAGTCTGAGTCTGTTTGTCTCTTCTTTCTGCATTGAGTCTCTTTTGTCCAGGTGATAGGACTCCGTGTATGAAGGATAGGGCCTCGTTGACCAAACCCACACGGGCTGAGCAGGGCTAAAGACTGTTTCTCACGACTCGACTGTCCCGGAGGACACGAACCCTCCCAAGGACCAGTACTAACCGGCGGGCTGCTCGGGGTGGCACGGTAGGCCCAAACTCTGAGCAGTGGGCTGCACAACGGGCCGTCTAAGTCTTGAGAGAACCTGCTGACCGCGTCGTCCTGTCTGCGATGTTAAAGAATTCTTGAGGAGTTATGGGGGATCTCCTTAAATGCCTCCTGGTTAGCAACAGGTTCTGTAGTGACGGCTGTAGTGATTAGAGTCTAGGCTAGAGACCATAGTTAACAGGGCTCTCTACAAACCATGTGGTCCATAGATTGAGTCAGTCTTAAGTTGAGTCAGCTAAGGGGAGAGTCAAAGTGGTGAGGAGTGGAACCAGCACTTGGTTGTGCGTCTATCACCATGGTTGACACGCGTAGCGTAACGAGCACCTCCCCTTATACGGCAGAGCAGGATGCGAAGGCCGTCGCCATCTTGAAAGAGAGAAGAGAGAAGGAGGAGGCCAAGAAGAAGGCCCTGATGGAGGAACATGCGGCCAAATTGAAGAAGATAGAGGAGGAGATGGCTAGAGAAAAAGAGAGGTTAAAGAAAGACGAAGAAGAGAAGCTCAAGGTGGTAGAAGAGGAGGAAGAGGTAGAAGAACACCCACTGGAAAGGCGAAGGGCAGGAGGAAGACGAGAATCTAGTAGTATAAAAGAAGATCAGATGAAGAAGAAAATTACAGAGTGGGTTGCTGGTTTATCCCTGGGGGAAGAAGAGGAGGCACTGATGTATGTGCCCAGAGAAGAACAAGAGGCCGCCATGAAAGAGTGGGATGCAGAAGAAGACCCACTCAAGCGGCAGGCGATAGAGGATGAGAAGAGGATGGAGTGGAAGTTCCGATTGACGAGGGAGAGGAAAAGAAGAATGGAGGTGGCGAAAGAATTAGCGGAGGTAACGAAGCAAAGAGAGCAGATGGCGACGCAGGTGGACCTATTGGGGAAGATGGAGATAATGGCGAGAAACATAGAGCGTTTGGCACAGGTCCAGGAAGAGCAATATCTGTTTGGTGGAGGACAGGACATTGCTTTGCGCTCTATATGACTGGGGCTCAGGGACTTCGCAAGGGAATTGGCGACGCATGTGGGCTCAGAGGTGAGGGCCCGCCTAGAGGGCATGAAACGTTATTGTACGGGCGCCATAGAAGGCGCCATATTGACTACTCCCAAGGAGGAGGAAGCACGTCCCCGTAGGTAGCCGGTCAAGGTCAAGTTCCCGGATTCCTATAGCGGGAAGAAGGAAGAAAATTTATATAATTGGGAAGCCAATATCAAAACATACGTGCACCTACAGAAAGTCTCCCCGGATGAGCACGTCCTAATAGCCATTCACGCCCTGAAGGAGGAGGCAACCAGTTTTGCTAGGTCCCTGTGTCGCGCTGCCAACTGCAATGATGATTTAGTCGCCTACTCTGCGTTCACTCCCCTCAACGATTTTCTTAAGTTATTGCGCGAACGATTTGCAGATGTCTCGCGCAACGTCAAAGCCTCCGATTGATTGCAAACCATTCACTCTCGACTGTGGAAGAGTGCTAGGGCACTCAAAGGTGTGATGAGAGTTGTTCGTCGTTCCTGACCATGGGGTTATTGAGGCCCAGTTGGTCAACCTCTTCTACCGGGCTATGCCCGAACAATTACGAGGGCAGTTCTTTGAGAAGAGCCAGCAGCCCACCATGACCTACGACGCATTGAGCAGGGAAGTGGTGGCGTTTGAAGCGAGGTCCATGTCAATTTCCACTTTTTGGCATAAGGGCCTAAATAAGGGCAAAAAGTGGAAGGGTCGCGCCATCTCGTGTCAAGTCAAGACCAAGGATTGTTTGATCCTTACGTTAGATGAGGGTGGTGTTGACGAAGTCCCCTACGAGCAAATTGAGTGGGGGCTAGAGGAGGAGGACAGTGGCGTTAGCCAGGGGAGGACTTACGCTGTTGTCATGGCTGGAGGGAGGCCGCAAGGAGGAGGTAGAGACCAGGGCCAAGGCGGTCGGGCCTCAGGGGGGCGTTCCCAGGGCGATCAGGGGGTGGTTCCAGAGTAGGAAACCGCCAAGCGGGAGGAAGGGGTCAAGGTCCCCCACAAAACCGTTCAGGGAATAGGTCGCCTAATAGGGGTAATAGATCACCCTATAGGAGAAGTGGTTGGCACCCAGGTCTGCCACAGGGCCGACCTTGAGAAGATCTGGGCCTGGACCAGCGCGTCTCACAACAACGTGTGGACTAGGGGCAGTGCATATATTGCGGTGACCCTGGCCACATCATCAAATATTGTCCAAAGTATAGAGAGGCCCGATCGGCTGCCCAGGGGTCAAAAGGCAGCCGCCGGTAGGGGTAGCAACTGCCCCTACCCCAAGGCCATGTGGGGAAATGAGCGCGAGCCGGCAAGAAACTCCCACACCACATGTGCCTATGGCAGAGGTTGCAGGCCGGTCCCTAGATAGTTGTCCAGAGACTGCTTGTGTCAGAGTCTCTCTAGGCACTTCCCTCACAGGTGTGGCCGACGAGCTGAAGGAGAGAATGCCCGCCTGGCCAAGATGAAGAAGGAGAGTCGAGGACAACTAGTTTTAGTAGACGTAGAAGTTTTTAGAAGTAGAGTAGGAGCCCTTATAGATTCAGGGGCTACTCGTAGTTATATTAGCCGTAGAGCACTGAAGAAGCTAAGGCTAGGTTGAAAGTCCAAAAATTAGAAGACCCCATAGTTAGTGTCCTCGCAGACAACCACACTACGCGTGTTGAGGACTACGTCGAGGGAGTCCAGGCGTATTTCCGTCTAGAGAAAGAGGAAGGTGGAGAAGGTTCCCCATTCCCTAACTCTCCTCGTACAGGACGACCTTCCTTTTGACGTAGTTCTAGGAATGGACTGGGGAGAGGCAGCCGGGGCCACACTCCATTTCAGAGAGCATGAATGTAGGCTCCCTAGTCCGTCAGGCGGGGTCAAGACTGCCCGTTTGTTCCACATGTCAGAAGTAGATGACTCCCTGGCACATTGTTGCCTTAGCGCTCCTGCGTTTGCAAGATTAGTGAAGAAGGAACAGCTAGAAGAACAGGTTTTTGTAACCTATGTCAGGCCAGTCACTGAGCCTAAAGAGGGAAAGCCCATAGATCCCGCTATTGCCAAGCTGTTGGAAGAGTATGCATATTTCACTAAGCAGCCTACGGAAGTAGTCCCGCGGCCCATCCAGCACCGCATTGAGATAGAGCCTGGCAGTAGGACTCCTTAAGGAGCAGTGTATAGGATGTCCCCACGGGAATTGGAGGAGCTGCCCAAGTAGTTAGACGAACTCCTAGAGAAGTGTTGGATTAGGCCCAGTTCGTTTCCATTTGGAGCACCTGTTCTATGTGTCCCCAAGAAGGAGATAGAGCTTAGGATGTGCATTGACTATAGGGGTCTCAATGCTATCACAGTGAAGAATGCGGAACCCCTGCCCCGTATAGATGATCTTTTAGATTGGGTGCAGGGTTGCAAGTATTTTTCGAAGATAGACTTGAAGTCCGGATATCATCAGATAGAGGTCCATCCTGATGATCGGTATAAGACCGCGTTCCGGAGTAGATATGGGCACTACGAGTTTATAGTTATGCCCTTTGGACTAACCAACGCGCCAACAACTTTTCAGCGTTGTATGAATGACTTGTTTAGGTCGTGGTTGGACAGGTTTGTAGTAGTCTACTTAGATGACATTCTAGCATTCAGTAGGACCCTCCAGGAGCATGAGGGTCATCTGAGGCAGGTCTTGGAGAAACTGAGAGATGCTAACTTCAAGATCAACGCAAAGAAGTGCGAATGGGCAAAGACCCAAGTTCTATATCTCGGCCATGTCTTAGACGGAGACGATATTAAGCCAGAAGATAGCAAGGTCGCAGCGATTAGAGATTGGCCTACACACCGCACGTTGACAAAACTGCGGTCATTCTTAGGCCTAGCGAATTACTATAGGAAGTTTGTGCGCAACTTCTCCACCATCGCTGCACCCCTTCGTAGGTTGCTGAAGAAAAAAACAATCTGGAAGTGGGATAAGGACTGCACGTCTGCCATGAAGAAGTTGAAGCAGGCGTTGATAGAGGTAGCCGATCCGTTCTTATCGTTCGTCATCACTACGGGCGCGAGCCAGTATGGAATAGGCGTTGTGTTACTGCAAGATGACGGCAACGGATATAGACCCGTAGAGTTCATGTCTGCTAGGATGCCTTCAGAGAAGGTCGCGACATCCACCTATGAGAGGGAACTCTACGCTCTCAGGCAAGCATTAGAACACTGGAAGCACTACTTGCTTGGGAGGCACTTCAAAGTCTATTCAGACCACGAGACATTAAGGTGGTTGAAGACTCAGGCCAAGATGACTAGGTGGGCCGCAGAGCTAGACCAATATGATTTTGAGCTCAAGCCAGTAAAAGGGAAGTATAATGTGGTTGTGGATGCTCTGAGTAGGAGAGCTGACTACTTTGGAGCAATAGTCCATTATCTGGATATAAGGAGAGACCTGCAACAGAAAGTTAGAGAGGCGTATGCGCAGGACCCTATTTATAGCGACCTCCTCAAGAGACTTAAGGAGGCTCCAGAGACCGAGCCAAATTACCGCGCTATAGAGGAGTTGCTATTTGAGAAGACTAATGTAGCAGACCGCTTGTGCATTCCCAACAGTGAGGAGATTCGTAGCCTGATCCTAGGGGAATGTCACGATACAGAGGGACATTTCAATTGGCAAAAGACTCTAGCCAATCTGATGCACGCGTACACTTGGCCAGGGATGAAAAATGATTGCATAGAGCATGTCCGCAGTTGTAAGGTTTACCAGAGGAATAAGACTACTACGCGTACCCCACTAGGTCTTCTCATACCCCTGCCTATTCCTGATCAGCCAGGAGATTCAGTGTCCATTGATTTTATGGCCGCTGGCGTCAAGAGTAGGCATGGCAAGAGCCAAGTCATGGTCATAGTTGATAGATTTAGTAAGTATGCTGTTTTTGTCCCATTACCTACAAAAGCTCGAACTGAGCTAGTAATTTAGAAGTTTTTTTATCATTGGGTCAGTGAACACGGGGTTCCACTTTCCATAGTTAGTGATAGAGACACCCGGTTCACTAGTCAGAACCGGCAGGAGTTGATGAGAGTCTATGGCTCCAAGTTGTTGATGTCATCTGGCCGTCATCCAGAGACTAACGGTCAGGCGGAACAGATGAACAAGATCCTGCAACAAGTTCTGCGTATGTACATTAGACCGGATCAGATCAATTGGGAGGAGATGTTGCCCAAGGTAGCAGTGCGTACAATAACAGCGTGCATTTGTCTACCTGCCGCACTCCCAACGAGTTGCATAAGTCCTTTAGACCACGCTGATTCACAAGCTACTGCCCGGTACTAGGGAGTTTGCGTTACAGCACGAGAAAGAGTTAGCTAACGTAGTAGAGAACCTCAGGAAGGCCCAACACCGAATGATAAAACAAGCTAATAAGCACCGTCGCTCGTCCCAGTTTAAGTAGGCGACCTGGTCTGGGTCAAGTCTAAAGAGTTTGCTCCTGAGGAAAACATCTCGCAGAAGTTACTGCCCGCATATAGAGGACCGTGGCCAGTTCTAGAAGTTAAGGGCGGAGAGGATGGGCCGTCCTACACAGTAGAGATCCCAGCACACCTCCACACCTACCCTGTGTTTCATGCCTCAAAGTTATTGTCGTGTGTCACAAGTCAACAGTTTCCATCTAGGAGATCCATGATTCCTCCAGACATGGACGGAAGATGTGACATTGACGGCATTGTAGGTGAAGACGTGTTCAGAACAGGAGGTAGAGGTCGTCCGCAAAAGCAATACAAGGTCCACTTTGCTTATCAGGAACCAGAGGACGACCGCTGGTTTACTAGAACAGAGCTTCTAGAAACAGCTCCCGACATAGTTAGAGCCTACGAGAGAGATAAGAAAGGTAAAGGTCCGGCCTTGGACTGAGTTATTCTCAGAGGACCTCGAATCTAGGCCGGCGGGAGTGAAATGGTTTTCACCTTCTAGCAGTAGCAAATGCAGATCCCAAGGCTCGATCCCTAGTTCTGACCTTACCTGTGTACAATATCGAGTTGACCCCTGCGTGTTTGAACCCGTGAGCTGTGTTTTGTTAGTTGTTGTTTGTCTATCGTAGGACTGTGCAGTTGTAGCGATTTGATCTATAGGTCTGTTGAGTAGGGGTCACAGCTATGTAGAGGTCGTAGCTATAGGTCTATTGAAAGGTCAAGGTCGTAGCTGCTACAGCCCTGAAAGGTCAAGGGCGTAGCTGCTACAGTACCCGAAGGGCCAAGTCCACAGACTTCCGGAAGGTCCCGGAAGTGGCCTTTCAAAGTGGTGCAGCCAACCTCGGTACGTTGGCAGTGCGACTGCAGTGAGTTTGCGGTGCAAACCCATGCAGTCAGCGGTACCGGTCCAGTCAGTCCAGTCCAGTCCAGCAAGTACCATGAGGGACTGTGTGCACCATGGGCCGATGGAAAAGGGCAGACCAGCGAGTTACAAAAGTATAAATTCAGAGGCAGCGCCCAACCATGCATTGATTCCTGCGTAAGCCATGCGGAAGCGCTGCCATAGCGACTTGTGCGAGGTGGTCTGCAGTGAGCCCGAGGACGAAGTGGGCGAGAAGGAGGTTAGCCATAGCGATAGGGTAGCAACGGCCATAGTCGTCATAGCTATAGGTGTGTGCGGGTGTGTGCGAGTGTACAGGGTGTTGCGTGTGGGATATCCAGTGTGATCCGGTGTGTGAACAACAGCGTTGTGTGAGTGACGAACATAGATTTGTATAGGCGCTGATGCGCCATAGCCATCTGAAGTGAGAGTGTATCTGAACTGTGTTCTTGGTTGCCTTATCTCTGAGTTTTGAGTGGGCGCTTGTCGCCAATTTGCTGCGCAACCTATTTGCATGCATGTGAAGTGTGAATGAAAGTGAGTCTGATTGCAAGACCCTGAGATCAAATATAAAGAGAAAATTGTGAAAATTAAGAATGAAAATGACAATTTGAAAACCATCAAACTATATCACAAATCAGGTTTGGACTCTAAATTATTTTTCTGTTGTATATCGTGCATTTTGATCAATGGTTGTAAAGAAGAAGTTGGCCCAAGAGGTGATGATGGCGTTAGTAAAAACTGTTGGTGAATATTCCTCCTCCTACCCTCCTTCTATTGAAAAACTACTTGACGAATGTAAGGACCTGCAGAATGAACCAAAGGGGGGTAAGTGAAAGGAAGATAAAACATACCATTGAGATTGTTCCTAGAAGTAAAATTCCCAAAGGACCAATCTATCATATGTTCCCGAAGGAACTTGATGAATTGAGAAAACAACTGCACAAACTAATTGATAAGGGATGAATCATACCTAGCTTTTCTCCTTATGGGGCTCCTGTTTTGTTTGTTCCCAAAAAGGAAGGTGAGTTACGACTCTCCATTGACTATCGAGGCTTGGACGCGGTCACTATGAAGAATGTCGAACCCCTCCCTCGAATTGACGATCTTCTAGACCAATTGCAAGGATGCAGGTACTTCAGTAAAATTGACTTGAAGTCCAACTAGCATCAGATTGACGTAGCCCCTGAGGATCAACGCAAGACGACCTTCGGAACAAGGTATGGTCATTATGAGTTCGTAGTGATGTCGTTTGGGTTGACTAATGCACCTGCCACCTTCCAAAGGTCAATGAATGAGTTGTTTAGAGAATGGTTGGACCAATTCGTAGTAGTATACCTTGATGATATCCTGGTCTTCAACAAGACATTGAAAGACCATGAAAAACATCTGCGTGTGGTCCTACAAAAACTGAAAGAAGGAAATTTCAAATGGAATATCCTGGTCTTCAACAAGACATTGAAAGACCATGAAAAGCATCTGCGTGTGGTCCTACAAAAACTGAAAGAAGGAAATTTCAAATGGAATCCTAAGAAGCCCGAGTTTGCAAAGTTTGAAGTTCTATACATAGGACACGTTGTGAATGAAGATGGATTGAGACCAGAGGGAAATAAAATTACTGTTATAAGAGATTGGCGTAAGCCGAAAACACTAACTGACTTGCGCTCTTTCCTATTGGCCAGCTATTATAGGAAGTTTGTTAGGAATTTGTCCTCCATAGCTACTCCAATGAGGAGGCTTCTGAAGAAAGAAACTATTTGGCTTTGGGACAAAGACTGTGAGTTTGCATTTAGAAAGCTAAAGTATGCGCTCACTCACTATCATGTGTTAAAGATTGCAAACTCATTCTTACCTTTTGTTGTGACCACTGACGCAAGTCAATATGGGATTGGGGTTGTATTGCATCAAAATGATGGGAAGGGCTACCGACCAATTGAGTTCATGTCCTGCCAACTCCCTTCGGACAAAGTAGCAAACTCAACCTACGAGAGATAACTATTTGCACTATTGCAAGCTCTACATACATGGAAACACTACCTCTTAGGTAGGCACTCCAAAATCTACTCAGACCACGAGACCCTGAAGTGGCTTAAGACACAACCTTGTCTTATTGACAAGCTTGTCAGATGACCGACAATTATTGATACTTACGATTGTGAGTTGAAAAGCATAAAGGGTAGGTACAATGCGGTTGCTGACACTCTCATACGCAGAAGTGACTTCTTTGGAACAACTGTCACCTACCTGGAAATTGGAAACGATCTCAAGGATAAGATCCAAAAAGGATATGCCACTGACGAAATTTGGCATCCTATTATAGACAATCTACAATCTAATCCTAAACGTTTTCTTGACTACCAAATGGCAGACAAAATACTTTTCTTCATTGATGGAAATGGACAAAAAATTTGTGTTCCACACAACGAACCTACCAAGAGTGTAATTCTTGGTGAATGGCATGACACTAAAGGACGCATTGGGTTCCAAAAGACTTTTGCCAATATCTGAGAACACTTTGCCAAGGACCCCATAGGACCGCGGAAAGGAAAAACTTTGTCGCAAACTGTTTCCAGGACCCCACATCCTGCCGCAAACGTCCTGGAAAAGATGAATTTTCTTCCGCAAACCCTTTTCAAGGACTCCACACACCGAAGATTGCGGCTTGGAAAAACATCGTTTTGTGTTTTCACATAGTCCGCGGCCTGGAAAAGTCTCACGGGAGGATTCCTCGCCGAAATTTTGTGCCGACTCTAGAGGGTAGGGGGGAGGGCATGTCTTTCCTGGAAAAGTCTCACGGGAGGCAGCAGCCAATAGCGATGAAGAGTGCCACCAAAAAAAAAAAAAAAAGGAAAAAAACAAAACAAAACAAACGAGTGCCAACGGAAACAGGCAATGATTGGCTCAACTGATTTCCAAAGGGTTTTCCAACAGCATTTGGTCCTCTGCGATGGGGCCCCGGAAAAAGTACTTTCCAACTTTCCAAAATGACTTGCCCACTTTTCATGGGCGAACGTTTTTTCCATCCGCACTGCAGTGGGGTCCTTGCCTTTGTTTGGTAAGGAATGAAGAACAACACACTAAAGTATGTGAGAACTTGTCCTGTGTCCCAACGCAACAAGCCATCCCACGAGAGTCCCTTGGGAGAATTGAGACCACTACCAATTCCTGAAAGACCAGGTGAGTCCATTCCTATCGACTTCATGAGCCTAATTAAAAGTCGAAATGGAAACAGTCAGGTAATGGTAATCGTGGACCGATTCTCTAAGTACGCAATGTTTGTGTCTCTATCGCTTGAAGCAAGAACTGAACTTGTCATCCAAAAGTTTCAGATGCGATGGGTTTCTGAATATATACTCCCCACTACAATTGTATCTGACGTGGATGTGAGATTCACCGGAGAATCTTGGCAAAAACTAGTGGAAGCTTACGGCACCAGATTAACTATGTCTTCAGAACGACATCCTGGGACTAACGGCCAAACTGAACAAATGAACAAGTTGTGCCAATAACTCCTATGCATGTACGTGCACCCTGACCAGATTGACTGGGATGAGAACCAACCCAAGATTGCAAGTGCATATAATAATAGTGTACACGCTTCTACAGGACAGACACCTAATGCACTGCATAAAGGTTGGCAACCTCTGCGACCGATCGACTCCCTAACAAGGGACCAAATCCAGAAGCTGCTTCCAAGAACCCGATAATTTGTAGTTCTCTATGAGCAAGACATTTAGAAAGCAAAAGAGAATATAAAGAAAGCCCAACAGAAAATGATTGAGCATGCAAACAAACATAGAAGGCCTACACAATTCAAAGAAGGAGATATGGTTTGGGTTAAATCCAACGAATTCTCACTTGAGGAAAATGTATCGCAGAAACTGTTACCTGTCTACTATGGACCCTGGGAAGTTAAAGTAATAGGGGACGCCGGTGGACCATCCTACCGAATTGACATTACCCCTCATCTAAAGATGTACCCAATCTTCCACACATCCAAGTTGTTACCCTATGCTGAAGGACAGGAACTCCCAAGTAGACCGTCTTCGTTTCCTCCTTCAATGGATGGTAGGTACGA